TCCCAACTTTTGCGTTCCAGTCGCCCATTATTATCAATGCATCTTGATTGCATGTTCGATCTATCTCTGCCTGTAAGAGTTGGTAGAAATCATCTATTTCTTCTTCTTTGGCTCTGGTTGTTGGTGCATATATCTGGATGATATATTATCCTTGATGATGTGTTATGGTTATAATGTTTAAATTCTTATTTCCAGTGAATCTCAAATGCATATTGTTGGTGCTAAGTGGCAATGAATTGAATATGACTCCTAGTGAACTAAGAAGAGTGCACCTGAACCCTGCCTCATCCTTATCATCTGCTACACACTCATGCCCACCCTTAACAGTCATTGTGTCAGTCCCACTGATCTTTTAGCTTCCCAAGTATCATGTCCTTTCCCAAGGACTGGCCCTCCTAACAATATGGCCACAGTATGTCAAAATGTCACTATCTTTGCCTCCAAAGAGCACACTGGATGCACCTTTTTCAAGACATACTTGTTTTTCCTTTTGGCAGTCATTCTGCATCACAACTCAAAAACATTGATTTTTCTTCTGTCGACCTTTTTCACTGTACAACTTTCATATGCACAAGAGTGATTGAATCAGGGATATCAGTCTTCCAACTGACATCATTGTTCTTCACACTTTGAAGAGTTCCCTGGCACCAGACTTTCGCAATGCAATACTTTTTTTTTTCTCCCCTCCCCATTTCCTAGTTGGTGGATCTAAGCAAGATGAAAGTATTGACAATTTTTCTTCTCCATCTATAATGATGTTGCCTATTTGTCAGTGGTGAAGATTTTTATTTTCCTGATGTTAAGATATAACCTATATAAGCGGCAACATGGCAGCGCCCGGAGCAGGAGACCCTCTAAATGCGAAGAGTGGAAAGGGCCCAGTGGCTCAGCGCATCGACCCAACTCGGGAAAAATTGACTCCCGCGCAGCTACAATTCATGCACCAGGTGTGTCTCACCCAGTGGCAGAAGACGCTGCCACAGCGGCGGACCCGGAACATCGTGACAGGCCTGGGTATCGGGGCCCTAGTGCTTGCTATTTATGGCTACACCTTCTACTCAGTGTCACAGGAATGTTTCCTATATGAACTAGAGGACGAGGCCAAAGCTGCCAGAGCCAGAGCCATGGCAAGGGCATCGAGCTCCTGAACTACATGGACCCTCGGCATTGCCAGCCTCCTGGAGCCCCTTCACATGGTGATTGATGCACTACAGTCCTGTAGAAAGTGAAGCCTGCTCACTGTTTTGTTGACCGTATCTGGTACCATGTTCCAGCCAAGGAATCTAGAGACTTAGGCATTCCGCCACAGTAAAAGGAACTTTGCAAAAAAAAAAAAAAAAGATATAACCTATATTGAAAGCTGTAGTCTTTGATCCTCTGCAGCAAGCACTTCAAGTCCTCCTCACTTTCAGCAAGCAAAGTTGTGTCATCTGCATAATACAGGTTGTTGAGTTTTTGTCCAATATTGATGCCACATTCTTCTAGAGGTTAATTTTTTATTCAGAGCATTAGGTCGGGCCATGAGTCATCCACATTACTATTTCTAGTATTGGAACTTGGCTTATTAACCTTTGGGTTAACAGCACAACTCTCTACAGAGTAAGTCACCAAAGCTCAATCCCCCCCTTTTTTGTGGTTTAGCACATAATATAGCTGGCTTCTAACTGAAGAGTTGGCAGTTAGAATCCACTAGCCTCTCTATGGGAAAAGGTGGTCTGACTTTTCCTAAAGATTTACAGACTCTTGAAACCTTTGATGGGAGGAGGATCTGTGACAAAGTATCCACTCAAGCATAGTGGGTAATGCTCTGGTTTGGAGCTGTCATTACACTGATGCTTGAAATAACTTAGTTTCACCTGTACTGTTTTCTTTTGGAAATGTTTTAATAGTCACGGGTTTTGTCAAATGTTCTGGCATTTTAGCTACCATATTCCGATACTGTGGTAATTAGGGAGCTCTAGTGGCTCCTTCTTGGCAGTCCAGGGTACATTCAATACTTTTCTCCAGACCACAGCTCAAAGGCATCAATTCTCCTTCTATCTTCCCTAGTCATTGTCCAACTCTCTGATGCATAACAAGTGATTGCAAAGACCATGGTGTGTGTCAGGTGCACCTTATTCTCTAGAGAGACATCGTTGCTCTTGAGTACTTTAGAGAGGTCCCTAACAGCAGACTTTCCCATCACAATACTTTTTTTATTTCCTGGCTGCTGGTGCCAAGAGTGCTGAGCGTGGAGCCAAGCAAACTGAAACTGTGAACAGTCTCAATCTCTTCACCATCCATCCTGATGCTACCAGTGGTGAGAATCTTTGTCTTCTTGACATTGAGCCTCAGTCCATACTGAAGGCTGCAGTCCTTGACCCTCTGCAGCAAGTGCATGAGGTCCTCCTCAGTTTTGGAAAGCAGGGTTGTGTCATCTGCATAACGCAGATTGTTAATAGATCTTCCACCAATCCTGATGCCACACTTCTCCTCACAGAGCCCGGATTCTCAGATAATCTGCTCTGCATACAGTTTGAAAAGGTATGGAGATAGGACACATCCCTGGCGTACACTCTTCCCAATTTTGAACCATGCGGTCTTGCTCTGTTCTAACAACTGCCTCTTGGTCCAAGTATAGGTTTCACATTAGCACGATTAAATGTTCTGGGATTCCCATTCTTCTCAGAGTCAGCCACACTTTGTTATGACCCACACAGTCAAACTCCTGGAGTAAAGTATTGAATGTACCCTGGACTGCCAAGAAAACAGATTGATCCTGGAGAGGGTTAAACCAGGCTACTCCTTGGAGGCAAGGATTCTGGGGCTTCGTCTGACATACTTTGGACATGTTGTAAGGAGAGACAAGTCTTTGGAGAGAGACATCACTCTTGGTAAGGTGGAGGGACAGCGCAGGAGGGGAAGACCCTCTATGAGGTGGATTGATTCAGTGACCAGGGTAATTGGGATGGGTGTGTCAGAGGCCATTCGATTGGCACAGGATAGAGCGGGGTTTAGGGCTGTTGTACATAGGGGTCGCTATGAGTGGCAAATGACTCAATGGCACATAACAACAACAACAACAGTGGCTCCTTGTCTTTGAATTAGAATTGACCCATAGTTGACTCTATAGTGGGTTTTCAGAAGCTGTTAATCACATTGAAAAAAAAAAATCATTGCTCCTCAATAATTCCGAGAGGTCCCTAACTACAGACTTTCTCAGTCCAATACATCTCCACTCAGCCAATATGGTGGCTTTTTGTTGCTGAGTATCAAGGAGTTAGAATCGACTCATAGTGACTATCCAGTGGGGATTCAGAGGCAGTAAAATTCACATGAGAATAGTGTTCATCTTTCTCCCGTGGAGCAGCTGGTAGATTAGAACTCCGTGCATTAATACTGGTGCCTCAAGCCACCAGATATTTTTCCAGAGAAAGCTGAGCAAACTTTTCCTGTGTTACCTACTGCCTCTGAAAACTCTTGGGCGGGTCAGCTATGGGTCGGTTTCGACTTGTTTATACACAATTGTGGTATTTAGTATTTGTGAGCTGTATCAATGATGTTTTTAGAATGAAGAAGTAATGAAATGAGAAGATGAAAAAACTTTGAAAGACTTCTGTTCAGTTACTGATATGGTTGTAAACAATGTTATTCAATGCAGAGATTTAATAGAAAAATTTCAAGAAACATCACATTTAGGCAATTTACAACCATAATTACCTATTGTTATTATTCTTATTATTCTTAAAAGGTGTACTACTAAACATTACCAAGGATTCTGAGTGGTCAGGTACAGAGGAGGATGGGGGTCTGGAGGGGGTGTGGGGGGGGTACACTGGGTGACACCAACTCCACTACGCACCTGCCAGCACCTCAAACCGGAGGCGGTGGGGAAGGTAAACAGGTGGATATAGGAGTGGGCAGAGCCCTGGGCCGAAAGATTTCCTTAACCACCTCCCCTTTTCCCTCTTGTCCTACCGGGTGGCGAGCGGCGTCTCCGGAACCCTCGGGTCAGCCTCTGAGTTCCGGTCGGAATTACTCGGCAGCGCACGCCAACATGGTTGCTGTGGTCCTGAGAGCTGTCCGGGAGTTGCTGAAGCGTGCGGACTTCACGACGGCCCCGCGGAGGCACCGACATAAGAAGAAATGGGTAAGTCCTGACTTAGGACCCAGGAAGGACATTCCCGCTCATTTCGGCTCTTTGTTTTCGCTCCTCTAGAAAGTTTTATAGGCTTTCTTCTTCCCGCCCTCTCAGTTAATGTCTTTCAGTTTGCTTCTACTCGTGGGACGCCTAGGATCTCTTTCCCCTACTCCTCGGTGTCTCTAGGCTCTTCCTTCCCACTTTTAAAGGTATAGTCTCTGTCAGCCCTTTTATTTTATCATGTATTCGGTTCTCATTCCCGGTACAGCTCTAGCCTTCTGGCTCCGCCCCTCTTTGTTACGTCATCACTCAATTCTTTCCCTTATGTCACTGCCCCTTGTTCTGTAGTTGGAGGTTATCCTCTCCCAGGCTCCCACTACCCTTTCCACCTCCCTCTTCCTTTCTCCCTTCCTCCCTCCCTCCCTCCCCTACTTACCCACACAATTTCTTTCAACCCTTTCCCCATGAGTTCGTCTCCTCCTTTACCTCGGGAACTTCAAGGCCAGCCATCTTCACTCCTGGCAAAATGTCTTAGCGACCCTCTTTTCCTCTCTCCTGAGTCATCAGCGTCCTCTGGGAGAAGATTCAGTCCTGCCTTCACCCTCAAGTTGCCTCTGGCTCACAGGAAAGGTTACAGTGACCACCCTTCCCGTTCTCCCAGGCCTTCCCCAAAACCAGTCAAAAGGCGCAGCGACTCGCCTCACCCCCTGTGCTCTCCCCCTTTCTCCTGTGTTCCTTTTTCTAGACTCGCTTGTTGCTCTGAAATTCCTTTTGTAGGCTGCCCACCTCCCTCCTCTCCCCCGCCATGTTCCTCTTCACCCGTACCATCACCTTCCCTGAGTCCAGGAAGATGTACTTTTGAAGCCAGCTCTCCCCTACTCTTTGGAAGGCCCAACTCCTTGGCTTCATCCCCTCAGGTCCCTTGTCTTAACCCATATGCAGCTCACCGTTTGTGGGATGCTTATTGTGGAACCCTTAACCCTTGGATTAAGCCCTTCTCTTATTGTGATGGATACCTTTCAGCCCTGGGAGGCATCCCGGTGACTTCCCCCCTCCTCACTCCTCAGTGCCCAGAAACTGGCACATTGAGCTCCCCTGCCCTCGTTCCCAGGCTCCCAGAAACTAATCCATTGTGCCCTCCTTCCATCCCTCCTATGTCTCAGCAAACTAGCACATTGACCTGCCCTTCCCTCAGTAATGAGGCCCCAGAAACTGAATCTATGATTTCAACTCCTGTTTATCAGTCTTCAGAAGCTGATCCATTGAGCTCCCCTCCTCTCATTTACAAGCTCCTAGAAACTGATCCATTGATCTCCCCTTCCCTCCTTCGTAGGCCTTGGCAAACTGGCCCATTGACCTCCCCTTCCCTCAGTAATGGGGTCTCAGAAATGGAATCTATAACTCCTGTTGCTCATCAGCCTCCAGAAACTGGCCCATTGACCTCCACTCCCATCACTCATAGGCCCCTGGAAACTAAAGTCATGATTTCACCTCTAGCTTATGAGTACCAAGAAACTGAACCCACAAATTCATCTCCCCTCATTCATGAGCCTCTTCGAATGGATCCCATGATTTCACCTCCCCTTAATCATGGGCCCCAGGAACCTTCCTCCATAATGCCACCTCTTCTTTCTCTGGGACCTGGCCTCATAATTTCATCTCCCTTTTCTCGCCCATTCATGGAAAGGCTTTTGGAAACTAAGCCCATGGTTTTCTCTAACTGGTCTTCAAAGAAAAATTATGATCATCCTCCTCTTTTCCCAGTAGCTCCCCCACCTACTGGCTCTCTCAAGTCTCCAGACTATCATGAACCCAGACCACAGCTGGATTTACCTCTTGAGAAAAATTATGGAGGCTTCTCAGTTAATTCTCCAGTTGGCATCTCTGCCTCTCCCACTCTTCCTCAGGAGGACTCCTACCACTACTCTCATCTTTCCCCAGAGGTCAATATATCTGCCCCTGGGATCCCATTAGGTGCCATTCACGTACCTCCTAGAGGTTCTTATTCTCCTTGGCCACCCCAGGCTCACACCTCTAAAAAGACTTGCCTTGAATCCAGGCTTTCTGGGGAGAATGCTGATAATCCTTACCTCTTGTTATCTCCGGACACAATGATTTCTGGTCCTCCTTGTTCTCCAGAAGCCCGTCGTCTTCTCTTGGCCTTGCAGCCCCAGAACCAGTTTGTACCTCCATCTCAGCCACTCCCCTGCAAAAACTATAATGACCCCCCTCTGCCCATATCAGTTTCCACCCAGGTGAAGTCCCCTGAGTTGTCAGAATTAAGGCAGTCATTTCCTCCTCAGATTATCAGTCCTCCTATGACTAGTACCTTTCCTTCATCTCCTTCCTCCTCCTCTGATTTTCCCAGTACTAGTAGGAAGCCATCCAAAACAGATTCATCAAATTGCTCTCCCAAAGAAATTCCTCTAGGGACTTCTTTATCGAATATGGTTCCTCGGAGTTCCCTTCCCCTTCAGTTTCCTTGTGCTCCTGCCTCACTCAGTAATTATGTCCAGAGCATCCCATGTGGACCCCCATGTGGATCTCCTGTTCCACCATGCCCCCTTCCCAGCCCTCTGGAATCCCTCAGTCACTCCACAAACACCGACGGCACTCCCAAGGGTCTTAGTTCATGTCCTCGCCAATCTATGGTAGCCCCTTGTGCTACCCACATCTATTCATTTATCCCTGTAAGAACACGTTTGAACCCCCAAAGCTTACCCACTGCCTCCCGAGCCCGTCCTGATATCCCCTGTGGCCTCCATGTCTACTCTGTGGCCCCTCGAGGATCCCCAAAAGAGCCACCCACCCGAGTCCCCTATAGCTGCCCTTTGCCTCCAACCAGCAATTGCACCTGTGACCCTAATAATGGCTGTAGAAGCCACGTTAATCACTATCATAGCAAGAGCCCTAATCGGAGCAGAAGTCGGAGCAGGAGCAAGAGTCCCATGCGTAGTAAAAGTCCAGGCAGGAACAAGTATTTCCAGCACAGTTCATATGAGGACTCAGTAGAGAGTTCCTGCTTTAGCAGTGTAGACCAGAACAGGAATCCTCACCATAGCAGAAATCGGCACCGGAGCAAGAGTCCTGACCAGAAAATACATCAAGATGAAATTGGAAACTCTCAACATAGCAGAAGTCAGAGACGGAGCAAGAATCTCAATCAGATTGAAAGTCACCGTAAGACTACCCATCAGAGCAATAGTCAGGGTCAGAGCAAGAGTTTTTACCCTTGGAAGAAGTGAAGGCCAGAGCAAAAAATTCTAACAAGACTAAAAATTCAGACCAAAGCAGAAGTAATAAAATAGTAATGAGACTGCCTGCTATAGTAAGAATCTCAACCATGAGCATCCAAGACCTTATTATAAACTCACCTGAGGCCTGAGTGATACTCCTCTCTGTTGCCCCTGTAACAGTCTTCCCCGTTTCACCTTAAACCATGACGTCCTGTGATCTCTCCTCATCCCACTTTTTTGAGATTTGAAAATTCTTCCAAAATCACCCTTGACACTATGGTTTTGAATATTATGATATTATTTATTGCATGACCCTAGGTAAGTGTCTTCATTTATCAAAGGTGGATGGTTGTGGGACTTTTTATTTTGATTTTTTAATAACTGAGATAACTGTTGTGATGTTCACATAAAGTAACAGATATATATAAAATGATTTTAGAAAATAGTGTGACTGTTGAGAAAATCTTTTGCTTTTGAGCCTCATGCTTACCTAGGACCTTCATAGTTTCTTTCAATTTAGTGCAGCCTCTTCTCAAGATTCTTTTCTTGAACTTCCATTTTCTAAGCTTCTCTTACTATTTTTAAGTGTGTCTATACTTTTTTAGTGACCCCCAGATACTATTATGAGAGCTATAGCTCTCTTCCTTGAAATGGGAAGGCTAGTTCTCCATTACATTACTCTCTTGTTCTCCATTAGACAAAAGCAAAAGTGAATGATAACTATGTTTGCCCCAGAGCTCTGAGGTGTTGATAATCAGGCTTATACCCTCTAGGGTACAAGCAAGATTGAAAAGACCACAAAAGAACTATGAGATAGCATCTAACCCTGGCAATAATAGCAAAATTCAACAGAGCAACAAACAACAAATGCCGGCAAGGTTGTGGAGAGATTGGAACTCTTATTCACTGCTGATGGGAGTGTAAAATGGTGCAACCACTATAGAAAGTAGTCTGGTGCTTTCTTAAAAAGTTGGCAATAGAAATACTGTTTGACTCAGCAGTTCCACTACTAGGAATATATATGTGTACACCCATGTTTATTATTGTGTTATTCACATTACCAAAGAAATGGAAGCAACATAAATGCCCATCAATAAACAAATTGACAGAAAAGCTATAGTGCATTCACACAATGGAATATTATCCAGCATTGAAAAACAACTCATAAAATGTTACACAGCATGGAGGATCCTGGAGAACATTATGCTGAGTGAATTATCTCTGTCACAAAAGGACAAATACTGCATAACAGTTGTTGTAAAATAGGACAGACATGAGAGTGTTGGGGAGGGAATGGGAAAAGAGTGGATAGATAATGAACACTACATTAGATCAGGTGAGAGGAAGAACCGTCTGAAAGGAGTGTATGATTAGGCATTATATGTATGAGAACAATCTGGAACAAGGGGTGCATTGCCGGTAGTCTGGGGAAGAGGGTGGGGAGATGAGGAATGAAATGTGCAACAATGAAAAAAAAGATTGAAAAGATTAATAAACCTATTCTTTCCTTTTTAGGCTACCACGGAACCCAAGTTTCTTGCAACACAATTGGCCTTGCAGAATTTTGACATGACCTATAGAATACAGTTTGGGAATCTTTGGCCATCAATTCGTATCAGTCTCCTTTCAGAGCAGAAGTATGGTGCACTTGTCAATAACTTTGCTGCTTGGGATCATGTTATTACTGAGCTGGCACAGCTGAATGCTAAAGACTTTGTGAATGAAGCCTTCTCCCACTGGAAATTGGAGTCAAGCAATGGACAACTTGGAACACAAGCCCTAGCGCCAGCCTCCTGGGCCTATAGTCCAAACCTTCGATGCTTTACTTTCACCAAAGGAGATGTCACCCGCTTTCCTCGTGCCAGGTAGGGAGGATCAAGAGCCAAGAGTGGTGGTAGTGCCTGCTAAAAGTAGGCTTTAAGATACCAAGACACACACCTGTCCTCTGTAATTAAGATCATAATACTCTATTACTAATATTTACTGAGGGAGTTCTGGTGGCCTAGTGGTGAGAAGCTAGCTGTTCTGCAATCTTAAAGGTATGTGGTTCAAATCCACAAACTGAGCCATGGGAAATGGATAAGCAATCTCCTTCCATGCTCTTTCTTTACTGCTTCTGAAAACCCACTGGATGGTCAGCTATGAGTCAGTTCTGATTTGACAGCACACAGCAACAGCAGCAATATTTACTGAGTGCTTATGTGACTGCTCATTTTTCAAAGTGCTTAGCATGCATTATTTCCTGTTTTTCTAAGCTTCTGTTTTCCCTTTTTCTCCCCCTTGTGATTTAAGTGAAATTTTACAGAGAATATTAGTATTTAGTTATTTGTATACATTTTGTTTCATGACATCAGTTACAATGCCTATAATTTAATAGTAGTGTTCTTGTTCTCGTGATTCTCATTTTCTTTAATCTTTCTATCCTGTTCCTTCCTGCCTTCTTTGCTTTATGCCTTGAAAAATACTGCCCTGCTGGTCTTGCATGATTGAAGGACCGAGTATCTCCTCAGTGTTGTTGTACAGTTTATAGCTCTGACTATTGTTTGGGTGAAAATTGAGCCACAGGAGTGAGTTTTATTCCTTGTTTTAAGGGTGATGTGACCCCATGGACTGTGGTTCCACCAGTCTCTATTTGACCAGTAAGCCTAACTACTTTTATATTTTTGAGTTTCATCTTCTGTGATCCTTTTAGAGTGCAGTGATAGCCAAGCAGTATCTTCTGGTCTCAGGTTCATGGATTCTGAGGTGCATGATCCCCTTCAACAACTCTATGAGCCATGTGAAGAAATTGAGTTGCAGAGAACTTGGTGTAGTAGATTCAGGTCCCTCCAATAATGATGAAGCAGTGGTATTTAGACCCAGATAATTTGAGCTCCATTATGGCATTTGAAACCGAAATGGCACAAGATTCAGTGTCACAACAAACCCAGATTACCTCATTACGCCAAATTTGCCAGAATGCTGTATGACTTAGAAGAATGTTCCTCCAAAATATAGTGACAGTGGATTAAAATATCATCCCTCTGGCCCAACTTTGAAATATAAGGGCCCCCAGGAGGTCTTGTTGACTCTATAAACAAGAGACTTAAATAAAAACAACTGAACAGTCCACACAGATCCTCAACCAAAACAAGAGCACCATCTTACAGACTCCAGCCACTTCATCCAACTCCAAAATGGAAACAAGGGCTTTGGTGTTGTGTGTTGTTATTAAGTGCCATCTAGTACAAACCCTATAAACAAAAGAACTATTGTCCTTCTTCTAAGTTCATAGAGTTTCCACAGGCATTCTTAGAAAGTAGATACCACTCCTGCTTCCAAGTCTGTCTTCATCAGTGAGTTCTACCAAACATTGTCAACCATATGTAACCATTATGGTACACCATTCCCTATCATAGAATCCAAAGTAACCTCACTACAGAGAAAGGACATAACAGTGCTGTACCACTTAGGAGAATGTTCATTTCAAATACAAATGAAAACTAGGCCTGAGGAACATTCTTCTAAGTTGTAGAGCACTCCTCTGTCAATTTGCTGCACTGAGGTAATCTGGGTTTGCTATTAGGCTGAACCTTGTACCATTAGTGGTCAACTGCCATAATGACTGCCTTTGGTGGACAGTGGTGGAGTTTCCAGTTTAATACAGATTTGGAAGCAGTAGTGGCATCTACTTCTAAACCACATGCCTCTGAAAACTCTATGAACTTGGAGAAATGATGATAATTATAGAAAGAGTTCAGGCCTTTTGTTCATAGGTCACTATCTCGACTAGATGGCAATAAACAACAACAAACAAACAAATATAGCTCAGAACTTGCTCATTGAACTTACTTTGCTCTTCAACCTCCTCTAGAAAACATTCACCCCTTAAATGTGCAGTCACTGTACACTGTTAAATTAAAATGTATATTATTCATGATTGACTTTCAATTTTGCCCCCATAGCTACTCCTCAAAGTGGGTAGAATGAGTAACGTCATGGTACTAAAAAGGAAGTGGGCTTGCCTAGAGTACAGAGGTAGTAACAAATACTAAACTGTTGTTTTTGAGTGGATTCTATCACATCGTGACCCCAGATGTAGAACTGGCTTGTAGGGTTTTCTTGACTATAATCTTTATATATATTTATATATATTTTCTATTTTTGTTTGACTATAATCTTTTGGAGGCAAGGATTCTGGGGCTTCGTCTGACATACTTTGTACATGTTGTAAGGAGGGACCGGTCCTTGGAAAAAGACATCATGCTTGGGAGGGTGGAAGGAAAGCACAGGAGGGGAAGACCCTGTATGAGGTGGATTGATTCAGTGACTGGGGTAATCGGGATGGGTGTGTCAGAGGCAGTGTGACTGGCATAGGACAGAGCAGAGTTTAGGGCTGTTGTACATAGGGTCACTATGAGTCACAAGCAACTCAACAGCACATAACAACAACAGCAACA